TTTAACCGATCCCCATGCCCATGCCCATCCCCACCATCCCACCACCCCAGTTGGGGATATGCCCCTCGAAACTCGAAGGGAACAGCCTACATCCCCACCTGTTCAGCTAAATCGTCCTGTGGGGCCCAGGCCACGCCAGTGGGCATACGGATCGGTGAAGCACTGCTCCGTGACGGCAGGAACGCGCCTGGGCCGACGTCATGAGCGCAGTAAACTCACAGGCTTGCCGTGAGTGCAGCTGCGCTGGCCATGAAGAGGCTTCCCCTCCGCATTTTGGGCGCACCGCTCGTCCAGCGCCCTGCGGGGAGGCAGGCCTCGGCTTGCACGCACCCCGTGCGTGCTCACGCGCGGGGGCTCCGCGCTCCGGGGGCCGATCCGGCCGGCTGCGGGGCGGGGATCCGACCAGGGCCTCTCGGGCCTGGCCTGTTTCAATCGCGTAATGGCGGCGGGTAATTGCACATGGCCTCTCAGGCCTGGCGAAGGCGGCGGGTAAGTGCACGTGGCGCGGCTGGCCGCGCCACGTGTACAATCCTGCTCTCCTCCGCGCCATGGCTATCGCGGGGGCGAGCTGGATGATGCACGAGCGGCCGCACGTCTCTCCAGCGTTCGGCTCGCGTGGCTCGGCGTGCCAGCCGCCACGCGCGTATCCAGCGCGCGGCCTCCACGTGCTCCACAGATGAATCCAGCCACGCCGCGTGTGCTTTCAGCCTCCCGTTAGACAGCCTCGGCTGCAGTTCCTTCCGTCACGGCCCTCCTACCCCTCAGATCCCGAGGTCCCCTCGACGCTGCGCCTCAGATCCCGAGTTCGCGACAAACGAGATCCTGTTCGTGATTCGTTCATTAGCGACGCAACAGCAGCAGCAGCAGCAGCAGCAGCAGCAGCAGCAGCAGCAGCAGGTGGAGGGTGGGATGGGGGAAGAGGGAAAGAGGAGGAGAGGGGAAGAGGAGAGAGGGGACGGGATGTGGGGAGGAGAAGGGGAGGAGGAAGAGAGGAAGAGGAGGAGAGGGGAAGAGGAGACGATGGGGAGGAGAGAGGGACGGGATGAGGGAGGTGGCTCTGGGAGCAGGAGCAGGACCAGCATGGCGGCATGAGGGCAGGGCCCGGAGGAGGGGGGAGCCGACTCATCCACGGGCACCCATCCTGGCCAGGACCATCCCGGGCCCAGCATCGGTGGACGAGATTCTTTGGTCCAGGGCCCAGGATCCCTGACACACCACGCCTCGACTACAAGTAAGGGTGACCCTTCGCCGCAGTGACCTCCGGTGCGGGCCCACTAAGGTCCCCCGATCGCCGAACGCTATGCGATGGTAGCGTCTTGCGCGCTTGTATTTGGTGCCCCCGCGGCCCCCGAGAAGCCGCGCACTAAATGTCACCCTTGCCCAGGGCCACTCCGTGAGTCTAGGCCTCCTACATGGGGTCGGAGTAGATGGGGCCAGAGGATCGCGCCGCATCGCCGATGCATCGGCGGTGCATCGGCGATGCGGCTCGATGTGGGGCCCAATGTTCCCCACGCCGACGTCGCGGATGTATCGCCGACGTCGCCAGTGCATGGCCGATGCATCGCCGATGTGTCGGCGATGCGGCGAGATCCTCCGACTTCATCTGCTCGGGCCCGATCTGGGAGGCCTCTGGCGAGAGAGCGCAGCGCCGTGGCAAGATCCCGCCCATCGCTCCCGGCCCCGCCTCTGCCGGGAGCCCCTCGAGGCGGATCGATCCGTGAGGGCCTGGAGCGGGGCGGGCGCCTCCGACCGTGGTGCTCCCGCGCGGCGCTTTGCAAAAAAACGAAGGATTGCAAAAAAAACCGAAGGATTGGAAAAAAAAAAAACGTTTTTTGCAATCCTGCGTTTTTTGCAATCTTTCGTTTTTTGCCATCCTTCGATACCGGCCAAGCCGCGGCAGGGACGATCCTGCACGGCGCGCCCGGTGGTGCTGTTAAGGCCCAGTGAAGCGACCCCCCCCCCCCTTCAAGTCTTCGTTCAGTGCGTCGCCCGAGCGTCGCCCGTGCGCCGGCCCTGGTTTGCGTCTCTGTCCCGAATCCCGGCCTCCCAGAGTGCGTGGGCGACATATGGCGCGACTTCGGAATTGCTCTGGCGATGTATAAGTTTCCGACGCCCGTGCACCAGCAGCCATTTTGGCGGTCGCGGCGCACTCCTAGTTCGACGGTCCACCAACGCGTTCTGTTCCCAAGTCGGCGCAAGAGGATTTGCTGGTGTTCATTGTCGGGGGCGCCAACCGTTGCTGAGGACGAAGACGCCTCGCGTTGATTGGGGGCTGTGCGTGTCGCGCCGCGGTGGGGGTGACGTCACGTCGCGCGACGCGGCGCGCGGCGCCACTTCGCCCCGTCGCATCGCGCCCCGCACCCCCATGTCGTTTCGCTCCTATCCTCCTGCCCCCCCCCTCTTCCTTCCTCTTTCCCTCGTCCAACGCGCTGCGCGTTTTGTCCCGTTTGCGAAATTTGTATTCAGTTCTTTTGTGTCAGGCTGCCGTCCTGTCCGCCTCCCTACTCGCCCCCCGTTGTCCTTCCACCCTCCTGGAACTTCTTCTCGCCCTCCTCGCTCCCGCCGCCCCCCTTTCGATCGCCTTCCATCGCTCCCGCCGCCGCTGCGCCGCCCCCGCGCGCCCCCTCCTCGCCCGTCCGTTCCCATTTCCGCCCGCCCTTGGCTCGCCTCACTTCCATCCTCTTTTTCCCCCCCCACGCATCGGCGGGCGAGACGTCGCCAAATTGCTGCAGCGACGGACCGATGTTCAGCATCTGACGGGGCGTGCGCTTGAAATGGATTAGTCCGTGCGCGCTGCATCTCCATGTCGTCTTTTGGTCTCCTCGCGTTCGTAGTTCTCACGTGCGCGTCTCGCTATTTCTACGATTGCCGCGCGCATCCCTTGATTGTTTCGCCAACGGGCCGTGCAGTTCACATGCCGTCAGGAGTCCACGGCGCCCTTCGAGCGATTCGCGCGCGACCTGCGCGCGACGCGCGAACGACCCGAGCGACGCCCGCGCGACGCACGCGCGACGCGCGCGCGACGCGCGCGCGACGCACCCCGACCCGCGCGCGACGCACCCCTGCCAGCGCGCGACGCACGATCGACCCGCGCGACGCACGCGCGACGCACGCGCGCGACGCACGCGCGCGACGCACGCGCGACGCACGCGCGACGCACGCGCGACGCACGCGCGACGCACGCGCGACGCACGCGCGACGCATGCGCGACGCAGTCGCGACTTTGCCCGCCCCTGGCATTTCTCCGAGCAGCAATGCGCAACGGCCGTCGGCCCGCCGTGCTTGCGCTGTTCACAAGTGGCGGCGGCTGCGCCCTCCATTGCGCCAGGAAGGGCGGTGCTTGCCCCTGTTATTTCCCTTTTCCTTCCTCGTCGTCCCTCCTCTTTTGTCATTCCTCCTCCTTCGTCCTCTCTCCTGCCTCGCCCCCCTCTCTCCTCCCCTTCTCTTCCTCCTTTCTACCGGCCTCCCTCTGTCAGTCCCTCCCCCCTCCTCTCTCGTCTTTGTTTTTTTTTCCCTTGCCACCCCGTGCCCCTCTTCATTTTCTTTTCTCCTTCGGCCCCCCTTCCACGGCCGCGGCGCGTCGCCGCGAGCGGCGCCCCCGCCTTCCGCGAACGGCCCCGCCGCTGGCGGTGGAGGAGGAAGATTACGAGGAGAAAAGGAGGGGGGAGGGGCAGGGGCGCGAGGCGGGCGCGGCGGCAAGGGCGGCCCGGCAGGTGTAAGGGGGGGGGGGGACGGAGTGGGCGGGTGCTTCTGTAATGGTCATGTTGGTGATCATGGTCGTGGTCGCGTTCGTCGCCTTGGTCGCGTTGGCGGCGGTCGTGCCGCTGGTGGTGGGCGGGCTGGTGGTGGTCACGTCGGTGATCGTGCTGGTGTCGGTCGTTGTGGTGGTCGCGAGAAGCGTGGTGGTCGTGGTGGTGATGATGGCGGTAAATGGTGTTGGTCGTAATCGTCGCGGTGGATGTGGTTGCGGTCGCATCCGTTTGTGGTGATCGTGGCGGCGGTAGTTTTGGCGCTGGCGGCGGTTGCGGCGGCTGTGGCGGCGGCTGGGGGGACCTGCTGGCCTATCGCCGGGCTGCGTTCAGCAGCATCGCTGCATTTGTAATGTTCGGGGGATTTGCTGATTTGCCGAGGTAGCCCAGCGGCCGCCTTCTTCTCGCCAAGAGGGCCGCAGCGTGGGCGACTTTCTTTTTCCCGAAGGCGACCAGCCTTTTTAAGCGACCGTGGAGGGTGTCCGCCGCGCTGGCGACGCACTCACCAAAGTGCCCCCTTGCGAGGGCGATGTGCACGTTCGAGAGGGCGGCTGGCCTTTTCGGCGGCCGACGCACGGGCGACGAATGCGCGACGCACTTCCTGTCGCGAAGGGGGGGGGGGGTCAGCACGCCGGTCGCTTTACTGGGCCTTAACAGGTGGTGCATCGGCAGGACGGGTGCCGCCGGACTGGTCGGGGCCCACCCGGAAGGGGGAGCCGCGCGCTCCGCCCTGGCATATGGCCCCCGCGCCCGCGCGGCGGCGCGCAGACGGCGGCCAGGGCGGATTTGTAGAGTTCCGCCTCGCCTGAGATCTTGGCGCTGCCATGTTTCAGGAGGGGAAAAAACACACAGACACTATTGATCGTCGATTCCCAGGAAAATATGGGAAAATATGGGAATTGGGCGGGAAGACAAATACCCAGAAAATATTGGAAAATATGGGGGATATTTTTATTTGTGTGTATTTATTTGTGTGTCCCAGGGCCCCTTCAATGTTGTCTCGAGCAGTGGCGAAGCGCCCTGGCCTGCGCAGCTAGACCCGCCAAGGAATGCTCTAAGAGCATGTTGTGGTCTGCGCGAGATGTCCTTGGAGCGCTTCTGGCTGAAACGGTTTTCTTTTTTAAACACATTTGGCTTATGTTCTAAGAGCAGCTTTGTTTGTGGATCAATTTCTGGTCCTCTGAACATGTCGCGGTAGGCCAATAAGAATGCCTGGAAGGTTGGTCCCTGCTCGATTTTCATACGGGATGCATTTTGGCCACGCTTCCATCCCAGGGACCATCACAGACCGATCCGATTGCAAAGATGCAGCAGAAGCATGGGGTCTAGGGTCTAGGGCGCCGGTGGCGATGTTCCAGGATGGTTTCGCCTCGCCTGAGATCGTAGCGTCGCCATTCTTTCGTAGCGGAGGCACGTTACCATCACAGATCGATCCGCCTGCAACGATGCAGCAGAAACATGGGGTCCAGGGTCCAGGGTTCTGGTGGCGATGTTCCAGGCTCTTGTACTATTCTTTCGCGACGCCGGATCTCAGGGTCTGTGGGGGCCTCTTGTGGGCGGCTTCTGGTCGGCGGCGACGCCGGATCTCAGGGTCTGTGGGGGCCTCTTGTGGGCGGCTTCTGGTCGGCGGCCGGGCGAGGGGGGGGGGCCAGGCGGCGCCCCGACAGAGCCGGGCCTCTCGGAAGCCCTCCGTGCTTCCATCCGAGGAGGCCTGCCTCGGAGGCCTCCTCGGTCCCCTCCGAGAGGTCCCCACGCATGCAGCAGCAGTGCCTGGCCTTGCTGGAGCGGCGCCGCCAGTGGCGGTCTCAATCGGGGCTTTGGCGCCTCCGGCGCCACCGCCGCGGGCGCGTGTCCCTGTCGAGAGATGTCAATGCGACGACCATCTTTGCCAATGTCGGCTACGCCGCCGACAGTCAGTTCTGTGGAGAATTCCGTAGACGCGGCCAACGTGGAGCAGCGTGTCCTGGTCATGCCCCTGCGTGCCTGGCGTGCGTCCTGGATGTTTTCGCGAGCCTCGGCGATGAGTAAACCGTCGAATTTTTGATTGAGAGGGCCCTGCGGGCCAGGGATGCGGGGCCAGCAGCTGCCGCTGCTGCGCCATCCTCTGGAGGGGCTGCTGAACCAGCTGGCGCTGCAACAGGGCCAGCAGGAGGAAGGGGGGCAGGGGCCGCGAACGTCTTGCCGGCCGTCGTTGCCATGGAGACGAGCCGCTCTCAGACGGTTCTGCTGGCCGCAGATGGCGCGCCTCGTCGCGCGGCTCCGAGTGCTGTGGGCGGGGGCCCGCCGCCGCGGACCTCGGCAGCTACGTCCACGCCGAGCAAATTTCCGAGTGTTCGACCTCGCGGGGGGTCAGGGGCTGGATGGGGCTCAAGATAGCGACGCTATGATTCGAGGTGAAATTGGCGATGCCCCATGGGGGCTGCTTCGAGCGCGTTTGCGAGCTAGGTGGGGGCCGCGGCCCGCGCGGCCAGTTCGCCCGTGAACATCGGTGGCGTCGAGGTCGAGGGGAGGTGCTGCTGGGGCTTCGGTCTCTGGCGATCAGTGTGTTATACCAACCGAGATGTTTCACATGATTGGCGCCCTCTATTGACCTGCTACCTGGAGTGGCGGCTGACGTCGAGCTGGTGAGTGAGGGCGGCGAATCCCACGACCTGGGCGCCGATGAGAACCAGGTGGAGTTCGAGGGCGACGTGGACTTCGCGGATTCGCGCCCGCTGTGCTCGGCTCCCCGCGCGCGAAGGTCACGAGGCCTCAGGCTTTGAGCGGCGGCGGGTGGAGTGGCGCCGGAGACAGGTTGGGGCCAGCGCCGCGTTGCTCGTTCTGGCATCCTGCAGTGCCGAAAGAGGTGTGGGGAAAGCAAGTGGTTGTGCCCGCTTCGCAGCTGGGCGTTTGCGTTGTTCAAGGAGACGTGCGCTCTTGGGGCTTAAGGGCTAAGAGCGAAACGTGTGAGTTCTTGCGCGCGATGGAAACTGTGGGTTGGAGATTAACAGTCGCGAGCCAACAGATCGCCTGCGTCGCAGGTGCAATGGCAATCACAGGCGCGCATAACTCATGGGCAAGAGTATGGTCATGGGTGCTAAAACTTACAAGATGCAACTCAAGGAGGCACCCCTTGGGGTTCAAAGAGGAGCTCGAGTGGATCGGGGGGATCAGCCGCGTGGCCCAGGCAGGACCAGTCCCCGATGAGGAAATCTATTTTGAGGTGCCCGATGCGCCTCCTGACGGCGTGGCGGAGAGAAGCTTCTGGGGCGACTTCAGTGGGGGCTCGCTAGATCCTGCGCTTGTGAGCGAAGCGCGGCAGGTTGAGATGGGCTGGGTGGCTCGGCAGCCAGCCGGCGCCAGTTGCGCCAGTTGCGACGGGGAAGGGGCCGATCAGCGCGGGCTGGGTCGACGCGAACAAGGGGGATGACGAGCGGTTTCGGCATCGGTCGAGATTCGTTGTGGGCTGTTTAGCGCCCCCCCCGCTCGAAGCGATTCGATTGTGAAGCGGTCTTTTGGTTTCGCAGAAGTTCCCGGGCCGAGGTTTGCCTTTGCGATTTGGTTTCTGGGATGTTTTCTGGGCTCGCCTGCGCGGAGAGGCCCAGCGAGCGGTTGTCGCGCACTTGCCTGCGGAAGGGGGGGGGGGGGGCGTGTTTGTAGGTGGGTGCGCGCGTCTCACTTTGCGATTACATAGAACCCAACATGCGTCTCGCACCTTGCGGGGAGATCATGCGGCCCATTTAGCCAGCGAAGACAGGCACCAGGGCGCGGCCTCGGCAGCGCTCGTTCATCGAGACAGTGATTGCGGGCGAGGGGGCGATCCGCGGGGGCGATCGCGTGGCCGTGCGGGAAGTGGATAGCTGTCTCGGGCCCCAGCGCGACACGCAATTCGTGGGGTCTTGGGGCCAGGTAGGGGCAATCAGGGGGATATAGTGTTCCCTAATGTAATTTCTGTTTCGTCGATTCTCACGTGGCGGTTGACATCGAGGGTGGCCAGGGCCACGTGGAAATCGCTCTGCGCGACTATGGTTTAGAACAGCCTGAAGGGTCTGGCCCCCCCAGCTTGTAAATTGACGTTTCGCGAGGCTGAGAGTCTTGACTCGCTTCTTGCCCTAGATGCTGCGGGGATTTGCTCGCGTGGGTCTTTGGCGATGCGCGCCGCGCGTTTGAGCGTGGATGGGCCGCGTTCGGCCGAGGCAGCGAAGACGCTGTGCAGGTCTATGGAGTCTCCTGATACAGCTAACCAGGCTGATTTGCAGCGTCGGGGGAGGTTTCTTCTGTCTCACCGTTGCCTTGTCCGTAGCTCCGAGTCCCATCGTGTGCCCGCTGAAGTGGCGGTTGTTGTGGACAGCGACCATGCAGGCTGCCCGGTGGCTCGTGGGCCCACGTCGGGCACATTCTGCAAGTTCGACAACCATGAGCTGAAGGCGGTTAGCTCTCTCGACAGCGCCGTCAGTCAGAGTGGCGTTGACAGTGAATTGTCAGTTTTATTTACAAGGAGCGGTTCCAGGATTATTGACCCAGTCGATTGCTCAGGACCTAGGGATTTTTCTCGGGGCCAATGTTAGAGATCAGGCGGATTTTCCAATTCAGGTGGCGTCTAATTCGAGCGCCGCTCGTGCGTTTGCTCAGCGCAAGGGCTTCGGCAAGCAAAAGCATGTGTAAGGCAGGTTTCTCTGGGTCCAGGATGCAGGTTCAAAGCGTCGGGTTCAGGTAAGTTCAGAGGGCACTCGTCAGAATGATAGTGGCGTGCTATGGGCGTGCCGACACGCGTATCGCGCAAGTGTTTGCATAGTACGGGGATTGAGTTTCGAGAAACCTGGAGCAGGCTACCCAGAAAGCCGGCCTGAAATGCTGGCTCTCAGGCTGCGGTTTAGGAGGGGTGCCGATGTGTAGCAGAAAATATTTGCGCTGTGATGCATGCTGCAGGATATTGAATGCACTGTGAGGGTTTGCGTGCGTCGTGGTTCCGGGCACTTATTTTGGCGAGTGACAATAGGTGTCGTTGTCTACCGACATTATTTCTGCATTGGTGCGCTCTTCTTTCTCCCACTATATTGAACCACGGCGTACGACGATGTCTCTCCCCTCCACCCCTCCCCCTCCCTGGGACGTGCGGCCGGGCAGGCAGGGGAGAGGGGTCACCATTTCTTTGGAAGTTGAGGATCGAGGAGACGGAGGAGGAACAGAAAAGGAGGAGGACAAGGAGGGAGGATCGAGGGTCGAAGCAGTGTGTGGCGTCTTTCGGAGTCCTCGGGTGTGTGGCCCCATTCGTGGTGACCCCCGTTAGAATTGCTTTACCGAGTTTAGAAAAACATGCCGACGCCGATGCTTTTCCGTAGCGCCCGTCCTTTTGGGTTTCCTCGGGGGCTCCCGTCGCCACTACCAGGTCCACCTCGGGGTACAGGTTTAGAAACACGGAGCCAACCTCTCTCTGCCAGCGTGCGCCCCCTTTCCAACATTTGGGACTTGTCCGCTTCCCCCTGGCATTCCAGCGCGTAGCACTCCACAGTGGCTTCCCCACTCGCATCTTCCGTCGTTGTCGTCGTCGTCGTCGTCGTCGTCGTCGTCGTCGTGCCGTGCAAAAGGCATGCGTGAATCTTGTCGTACTCTGCGGCTCACCCCCGAGCTCAGTGCGGTGAGCCCAGAGCAGGCTTTGGAGCCAGCGGCCCCTCCGCCCGCGGACGGTGGGGGCGGGAACGGGGCGCCGGAGGGCGGCCGTCCCCCCGTGGGGGCATCCGAGGAGGCGGGCTTTCCGGCCCTCCCCGCCGCCGTGCCCACGGCCCCGCCCGTCCTGGAAGCCTCCTGGTGGGGCCTCCGAGCGGGGCCCCCCGGGGCCCCCCGGGGGAGCTGCAAGGGGGGGGGGGTCCCCTCTGAGGGGGGGTGTCTCTGGGCTCCCGGGGCCGCCTGGGCGGTGCAGGCCCTGCGGGCACCTGGGCGGGCGCACCCCGCGGGGAGGCGCGGGCCGCGACCCGGGCAGGTTCCCCCCCCTCCTCCCGCCTCCCTCCCCCCCCTCTTTTCTGTCAGCTCCGCCCTCCTCCCTCCTTTCTTCTCCCTCCCTCCTCCCTTCTCCCGTCCTCCTCCCGTTCTCCTCCTCCTCTTCCTCCTCCCTCCCTCCTCCTCCTTCTTCTCCTCCTCCTCCTCCTCCTCCTTTGCTGCCGGCTCCTGCGCTCCTCTCCTGCCCTTGCCTGCCCGTGCCCATTCCCGTCCAGCTCTCTCGGTCCCTCGTCGACGGCGCGCCCGTGGGGGAGGGAGGCCGAAGGGGGAGGGGGGGGCGGGCCTTCCCAGAAGGCCCAGAAGGCCTCCGGCCTCTTGAGAAGCTCGCCAAGCCTCCTCCGAAGCCACAGAGGGGGGGTCCGAGAAGGCCAGAGGGCTTCTGGAAGGCCCCGATGACTTCTGACAAGGCCTGCGCCCCTTTTGAGAAGCTCTCCAAGCCTCCTCTGAGGCCACAGAGGGGGGGTTCAAGCAGGCCAGAGGGCTTTGAGAGGCCCCGCTGACTTCTGACAAGGCCTGCCCCCTCCCACCTTCTCCCTCGGCGAGCCGCCAAGCTTTCCGTCCCGTCAAACTTCGTTGATTATGTGGGCCCTTGATCGTTCCCCGTCCTTCCGTCCCCGCCTTGCCCGCCCTTCCGCTTCCCCTCTCCTCTTCCTTGCTTCCTTATTTTCCCTCCTGCCCTCCCCGCTCTCCTCCCTCTCTTACCTCCTCTTCCTCCTGCCTTTCCCTCTCCTCCCTCCCTTCTCCTCCTGCCTTCCCTCCTCGCCCCCCTTCCTCGCCTGTTCCTTCCCTGCTCTTCTCGCCCGGCTCCCCTTCCGCCTGCGCGCCCGCCCCGCCGGCCCCAGCTTCGCGCGTGCTCGCTCGTCGGCGTCCGTCTGCTTCTCCCGTCCTCCTCCCCCTTTTGCCGGGCCGCAGAGCCCGCCCGGGAGCGGCGCGGCGGCGCGCAGAGCAAGCAACAGGCGCTTTGCACTTGTCTTGGGCCAGTGGGGGATCGACTGCATAGCCGAGTTGCCCCAACACCAAATTTGGGGTAACTCGATTCTGTAGTCGACCCCCCTACCTAGGATGCAACTCCTGGGAGGTTACATTCTCTTTTTGCGCTGATTTTTTCGCGTTCGATGACCAGCTCATTGTGGGCGAGTCCTCCCTACTCCTGCTTAATCCTGCTTGGTCCCGCTTACTCCGGCTTTATCCGGCTTAATCCGGGACTTAATTCATCCTAATCCGGTGAAGTGGTCTTTTCATCGGGCGTAATCGCCATTAATCGTTCCAACGAAGACCTCCCCGAAGTTGCTTCCTAAACCTAGTTGAATCGTTCCACGTTGAAAGTCGTTTTTTTCTGGATTCCAAACCCTAACCTGCTTTAGGCGCCTTCCTACTTCAATCAGCGAGCGCTTTTCCCTTGTCCTTCCTTTTAGGGGGGCGGGCGGAAACCCTATCTACTTCCAACGCCTTCCTATTTCATGCGGTTTGGGACAACATTTGCTGTTGGGCATTGTACAATTTTTTTCCGTACCCATCTCGGGCGTCCAAAAATACGTAGCCCAAGGGAGAACAATTACACCAGAGAAGGACCCCAGTCAGTGGATGGTTTGAAGGATGCGGAGGTCGACCGGGAACCTGGGAACCCGGAAGCCACCGAAATTGGTCCAGAACCAGTAACCAGGCCCCCGGGAACCTGGAAGCGAGAATCCGGGAACCGATCTGACTACCGAAGTCGGTAGGAAACTTTCGCCAACTCTTTAAATTTCCGCTACGGTGCCCGGACAAAAAGTGTCCACACCCAGGGCGGCAAGACACTGCGACGTGATAACAACCGCAACAGCATGATGCACTTGCTTCGCACCCCTCCCCCCCAAAACCCAAAGTTTAAGTGTCCACATTTTGTCCCTGGCGCGCGGCCTGCCGCCTAAGCCCGCCAACTTTGAGTTTGGGGAAAGGGGGGTACACATATTCGTTCGACGTGATTTGACGACGAGTTGTCTTGGCGCGACAAGTGTGGACACATTTTGTCCGCCCACCGTAGGACCCATCCAGTGCAAGCACTGATTGGGGGATCTATGCATCCAAGGGCGCCGATTGCCCATGCCTTCGGCGAGGCTTCAGGGTGCTCATGCGTGTAGTCTCCGCCCCTTGGATATGCGCCCCGATCGTCGCCTCCGGCCCCTGACCAGAGGCGCGGGCCGGCGCGGGAAGCGAAAGCTGAACGAGTTCGGAGATTACGAGGCGCCGGGGTGTCCGGGGCCTTCTGCAGAGGAGGACACGGTGTGCATATCGCTACCCCGACATGATCGCGTCATTTTAAAAAATCAGGACAGGAGTTTTTAGCTATTGTCGGCCCCTGGGGGCCCTCGCCGGGTCTCGGGACCGTCAAAAAACAACTCGGGACGAAAAGTCCGGATCCGGGGAAAGGGTCGGGGCTTCGAGGGACGCCGTCCTTCAGAAATCAGGACGTCGCATGTCTGGGGTGCCCATATCGCTGCCACTCGCCCGTGGTCCCCTTTCTGGGCCTCTCGGGAGGCGCCCTCGTCGCCACCGCTGGGTTCGCCTCGAGGTCCTGGTCCGAACGCGCCTTGGGAGAGGTCTGGGGAGCAGCGGTATCGGCACCCTTTGGTTTCCCCTTTCCTGGCGCCTTCGTCTTGGCATCGCTCAGACGTGTGCATTTTTTCGCGCGAGGCCAGCGCCAGAACATATTTGACCGCTCAGGAGCATCTTGGGCCGTCGGGCGAGACAGAGCAGTGCACGGGGGAGGGACGCTCCAGTTATGGCAAGTCGTCGGTCTCTGGTGGCTTCTTCCTTTCCGGCCTCGGGATGCGTTCTGGCATCTGCGCCTCGCCGAGGGCGTCGTCGGTCTCTGATGGCTTCTTCCTTTCCGGCCTCGGGATGCGTTCTGGCAGCTGCGCCTCGCCGAGGGCGTTCCTTCCGCGGCTGCCGGAATCGTCCCGACCGGCTGGTGCGAGACCCAGAATCGCAGGCCTAGAGGTTGACACCAACACCAAGATCGGCGGTGTGCCTCCACCGAGGGAAGAGGATCCCGATCTCGGTGATGGTGGTAATATTATGGCTTCCAAGGTGACCGAAATATTGCCACCAACACCGAAATCTAGGATCATCTCCCTCATGTGGAGGCAACTTCCTGTGTTGGTGTTGGTGCCATTTTCTAGGCCTCCAACAGAAGCCGACGACGCGGGGCGAGGCACGACGCGGCCCCTTGGGAAACTGGAGGCCGGGTGGTCGGCCAGCAGGGGGCGGAGGGCTGGACCTGGACGCTGTTCTGCTGGACTTCGGCCGTGGCTCGTTTTTCGCTCTGGCAGGGGGGCACAGGAAAACAGTCAGGGCGTGAGTTACCTACCCCGCTTTCGCTTCCAGGCAGAACCAAGTCATACCACGCGCCTCCTCGTCAAGCGGCCTGAACAGTACAGGCCGCAGTTTGGCATCGCTTGGTAGCTCTTGGAAGCGAGGGTGGTCAAAAGCGAGGTAGGTTTCTTTGCCCCCGAAACGGGTGGAGCAGAACGAAGAACGAAACGAGGACGAAGCGAAAGGCAGCGTTTAGGTCCAGCCCTGGAGGGCGTGGTCTCCGAGGCCTGGCTTCCACCTCGCGGGGCCAGGCTGGCTCTCTGGAGGCGGGCCTCGGGTCCTGAGCCCAGGGGGGCCGGCCCCCAACCTCCTCCTCATCCTCCTCCTCCTCCACGCCCCCTTGCTCTGGCGCCTGAAGTACCGCCTCCATTACCAGGACGACCACGATGGCGACCCGACCTGGGATTATGATAGACTGGCGGGACTGGCTGCACCGAGAGGGGACCATGACCTCATCGGGGAACTGGAACGCCTCTGCGAGAACAATGCGGCCGTGTGGCGCGGCAATTCCAGAAAGGACGACCCCTCCGAGACGTGGCAGTCACTTGTCTCTGACGTTCGAGAGGCCGCCCTGCCCCTTTTCCAGCGTGGTGTTTTACCTGGCCCGACCGCTGAGTACGTCCAACAACGGCAGGTGCTCCTCGAACGCCGACGAGATCTTGGCAGGCAATGCAGGACGGAGTCCGACAGGCTCGCCATCAGAGCCTGCGACCGTGAGATCAAGCGCATCAAGCGCAGACTTGACACCCAGCACGTCGAGCAGTTACTAAGGGACGCCACCGCCGCCGCGGAGCGGGGGCATACTACGACAGTTTGGAAGCTTGCGTACCAGATTGGAGGCAGATACCATGGCGTGAGGAACCGACGTTTCAATACGATACCGCACTACCTCCCCACGTTGGATGAGTGGACGGAGACGCTTCTGGCGGGGGCGGCAGAAGGAGGCTTCTCGGCAGTGCAGGTCCCCGAGCCTGAATTTCCTGCGGAGATCACCCTGGCGCTGCGGGAGCAGAACGGCCCTGATGGCACGTGGAAGGACCTACGTGGACACCCTGCAGCGACTGCTTACGACGACTGGACCGACACGCTGAGGTGCCTTCGACACGCGGCCCGCAGGCGCTACGCCCCGCCCCATTCCGCGCCCACCGAGCTCTGGTACTTCATCCTCAGGGCGGCCAGCATGGAGGCGCGAGGGGACCCGACAGGTGTCCCTGATGTCAGAGATCGACCTAACAGACCAAGTCGAGTACCGCACGTACACTGCCCGCGCCTGGCGGAGCGCCTGGGGGCTCTCTTTCGCCAGATTCGCACAGCCTGCCGCACGCCGTCCTGGTGGCACTGGTCGCGGACTTTCCAACTTCCCAAAGGCATGGATAAGGTCGGGACGAAGGCGATGCGTCTGATCCACTGCTACTGCCCCTTCGGCAAAGCCTGGTACCGTGGGGTTTTCATCAGGCACCGCCGTCCGCCGCTGCCGCATCATTCTCATGGGTATGCTCGTCATCGATCGAGGCAGGGCGCACAGCTGGTCTCTAAGCTACATACGTGGGGATTACGACGTCTTCGAGTCAACCACCTCCAACTCAAGAAGGACATGACCAACGCCTTCCCCTCCACGTCCCACGACGTTTTGGAAGAGGTGGTGGGCCAGATCATCCCATACATGCAGGACCAGCTGTTCCTCAAGCAGCGCCACGCCGAGGCGGCCATGGAGGTGCGAGTGGGTGACGCTCGAGGCTTCTATGTGCCCAGGCATGGCGCAGGCATGGGCGACGGCAACGCCTGCGAACTTTTTGTTAGATCATTTGTGCGACCTCTGCAGGACTGGAACCGAGAGCTCCTCGTCACCAGAATGGATTCCTTTCACCTCCAGGACGGCTCCACAGTCCCGCTGATGGAGGCTGCCACCCTCATTTCCTGCCCGTGCTCGGGGCAGCTAGTGGATTTGTCTTTACGAGATTATGCAGATGATGTTTCGCAGACGCTTCCAGTGCCAGATAGCAATCCTTTTCGGGCCGCGGAGGTGGCCAAGCAGTCCTCCGATCTTTTGGCGGCCAAGCTCAGAGCCCAAGGCGGCTTCGCACAGAATGCTTCCAAGGAGCTCATTCTGCTTGTTTTCGTGGGCCCTGGAGGGTACACGGCCACCCGCGCCGTCCTTTCGGGACTCGTTTCCTTCCCTGGGCAGCCCAAGGCCCAGGCGGCCTACCTCGGAGGTCTCGAGCAGCTCACTGGAGGCGCGGGGGCGGAGGTTCGAGTCAGGATTGATGCCGCGCGGTCGGCGTGGTGCAAACTGGGTCGTTTCTGGAAGCAACATGTTTCGCTCAGGCTTAAAAGGATGGCCTTCCTGGGTGTTCTGCAGAGTGCGGCCTACGCGGGTCTGGGGACCTACCTTCTGGCCAAACGGGACTACGCCAAACTGGATGCCGTCCTCTTGGGTTTCGCGAAGGTCGCACTTCGGGGAGTTGCTAGACGCACAGATGTCGATGGGGGTAGAACAGATTCGAGTTCCCCACGCCTGGCAGGTCCACAAGCGCCTGCGCATGGCCGACGCTCGCACCGAGCTCCTCGTACGCAGGCTGAGGTACTGGCAGCAACTCGCCAAGTACCCCGAGGCTTCTGTGCAAGCAGTCGCTGCGCTGCTTGGGAACTTTGAGGCGCTGAGGAGGCGCCCGTATTCACCGAGGCGGGATGGATAGACAAAAACGCGAACCCGTGGGCCCTCCAAATGCAGCAAGACATACTTACCCTCAGGCTCCTCCCCAAGGGCAAGCTCTTCCTGGATCAGGGTCACTCGATCAGGGACATCTTTACTCAGTATAGGGTTGCGGCTTTCTTCGCTAGTCCGGACCCCACTGGGCTCCGCAAGGTGTATTGGGACCAGGCCTCCTCGCGACCGTTGGTACCTCCGCAGGGTCTCTCGGCCCCAGAGGCTCCGCCAGTACCCGAACCACATCAAGAATATGGGTGTGAACTACCTCTTGAAAATGGGGAACCCTGTAACAGTGTGTTTGTCTCCAAGGCGGCTCTCAAGGCCCATCAATGTCATCATTCTGCTCACAGATGCCGAGTGCCTATCCGTCAGTTGGTCGTCACTGGCCAGTGTTTTTTTTCACTGCTCATCGACCTTTTCCTCGGATGTACTTGCGAAACGACACATCGTGCAGTCGCTGAAGATGAGAAGGTGCATCGCCGACTATAGCCCCTACTCGCCCGCCCTGAGAGTCCCCGAGGTATTGTTCTGCCCAGTCTGCTTAGACCCCGGAGTTGTGCATCCAGTCCATCGTTCGGGGCTCCCCCGTACCGACGCCGTCAGGGCTCAAGGCGAGTTCCCGAGCTTGGAGGCCCTCCAGCGCCACATCAGAGAGGTCCACGCTCCCTCTGCCCCTGAGATCCACTTCGATGTCGAACCTCGCGGAGCGTGCGCTGAGCATTGGGACCGAAGAAAGACAGAGAGCTCAGAGGACGCCAGCGAGGAGAGGGAGATCGTACCCGCAGCAACGAGCGAGGAGCGCCCCGTCGTTCGCGGAGAGGAGGAGGCCAAGGGGCGGCGCCATCGCAGGCGCCAGCAGCCGCCGCAGCAGCCGCGGCTGGGCCAGCCCCCATGGTCTGGGACGCCACCGACACGCACTTCGGGTTGGCCCGCCAGGACGTCGCCAACCTGCAGCGAATGCCGATCGAGTGGGTCCAGGCCGTCGTGCCCGTCCTGATGAGGATGTCCCTCAGGCACGAACAGGGCTTGAACCAGCTCGAGGCCGCCAGCTACCGACACGTGCGGATGCCCACCAAGCACGACGTGGTTCAGTCGATGCAGCTGACCGCGAAGTACTACGGCACAGAGGCCGCCAGGATCAGGAAGGAGAAACGCGAGCAGCTGGAGTCGGGCCAGACGGTCGACGAGCTGGTGGCCCTGGGCATCCCCCACCCGCACGTGTGGATGGCGCTGGTGGGCGCCCTCGTCGCGCAGGGAGAAAAGATAGGTCAGCAGAACCTGGCGGCACTCATACAGTACCAGCAGAAGGTCAAGCAGGAGCGTCCGACCAACAGCAACCTCGCGGACGACGTGCGCCACTGTCGTATGCAAAGCACGCACGACGGAGAGATGACGAAGATCTGGATCGCAGTGGACCCGCCGACGCTCGAGAATACAGCGGTCAGTTCCCTGGTGCAGCTGGGGGGAGTGCACGAGCATGGCACGCCCCCGAGGAGTCACAATGCCCGCCTGCTCCAGCTGCACCTCGACGGGATGTGATCGTACACAGGGAGGCCATGGATACTACCACCCCCTCGAGGCCGATGTGGGCACAAAGGATCCAGAGGACTTCGGCGAGCCTGCGGCCTCGGGGATCCCAGAGAGCACCTCCTTCCTCGATCCAGACTACGACTCCGTCTACTTCTGCGCCCCCGACCCAGAGGAGGCCTGAGCCCCCAGTGAGCCCCAGTGAGCCCAGATAATCTAGAGCAGGTCAGTATACCCTCACCCCTTCGTCTGAGACTCCCCTCCCTCTTTCGACTATCCTGAACCTCCTGGGCCTTCAGCGCTGAGCCCCCCGCAAAACTTTTTGGCGTCCCACTATTAGTGTGGGGTGCGGGGCCTTGGCGCTCTGGTTCTGTGGTTCCTCGGGCGTCCTGGTCTTTTCCTCGCGGTTCCAGCGAGCCTGCTTCCTCAGGCGTCCTTGGGGCCTGCGAGGTGTCTTTCTTGAGTTTCTTTTTTCCCGCGTTTCCAGCCCCGCCCCTTCGGCCTGCCGGTCTTTAAAACGTGGCAATCCAGCCGTTGAAGGGGGTGGGTGGGAGCTTTGGTGCCTTCGATGCCACGCGCGGCCTGGGTTTCGAGCCGCGGCGCACTCTAGAGAGGAGACCAGCGAAGGCCAGCGCTCCGAACTGTTGCTAGATGTTGGCACCTCTCTGTAGAGCTTCACACACACACACACACACACTCCTCCTCCTCCTCCCCCTCCTCCCATTCCTCCCCTTCCTCCTCCTCCCCCCTCCCCCCTCCCCCCTCCCCCCTATCCGTTATTGCCGCTTTTTAGGGCCTCCTGGGAGGACCTCGCCGCCACCGCTGGGTTTGTCTCGAAACTGGTCAGAACGCAGCCCAGGAGAGGTTCGGGGAGTATCGTTGCCTTTTAGTCTCCGCTTTTTTTTTTGGGACGGCGAAGTCCTCGTGCTGAGACTTTGTGATCGCTGGCCAGGCTCTCGTCGCAGCGCTTGTCAAACCCTGGGAGGGGTGTCCAAGCCTTCGGATGCAACTCCTGGGAGGTCAAATTCTGATTTTGCCTTCGAAATCCGGCTTAATCCCGCTTGATCCCGCTCGATCCCGCTCAATCCCGCTTAATCCGAGGCCCACTCCGGTGTCACAGCCCCCCAAATCGGTTTTTAATCTTCCTTCATCCTTCCGACGAAGACCTCCCAGCAGTTGCGTCTGTCTGGACGTGGAGGCGGCGGCGGCGGAGGCAGAGGATGAGGAGGAGGAGGAGGAGGAGGAGGCGGAGGTGGAGGAGGAGGCGGAGGAGGAGGAGGCGGATGAGGAGGAGGAGGAGGAGGAGGAGGAGGAGGAGAGGAGGAGGAGGAGGAGGAGGAGGAGGAGGAGGAGGAGTTCGGCACTGGCTGCCCGACGCAAAGTCCCGGCCGCCGCGCCAGCGCGGCGCCGCGTGGCGGCGCACGGAGCGCCGCCGAGCAGGGTGCAATCTTCAGGAGGGGGAAACCACACACAGACACAACGAATCGTCGACTCCCAGGAGGAGGAGGAGGAGGAGGAGGAGGAGGAGGAGGAGGAGGAGGAGGAGGAGGAGGAGGAGGAGGAGGACGATGTGGGAAAATATGGGAAAACATGGGGGGGGGTGGGGGAGGCAAGAACCCAGAAAATATGGGAAAACGTGGGGACTCCTGTTTTTTTTTTTTTTGTTTGTGTGTGTGTGTGTTTGTGTGTGTGTGTGTGTGTATGTCCCAGGGCCCCTTTCAAATATGTGCGACGGGGCTGGACCTACACGTTGTTCTGCTGGACTTTTTGGCCGTGTTTCGTTCTTCGTTTTGGCAGGGAGGTACACAAAACAGGTATAGGGTCCAGCTTGAGTAAGGAACGCTCACTTTTCAAAAGGGGCTCAGTCGTTCCTTTGGTTCGGATGCGTTCCGCTACCTTCTTGGCGGCGATTTCCCCTGGTGTTCCTTCGGACTTCCTAGAAAGTACTTGGGCAAAAAGGGGCTTCGTTCCTTATTTATCGCTCCTTAGGTCAGGCCGAATACTGCAGAGCAACACGAACGACTACACGAAAAAACAGCGTTTAGGTCCAGTCCCTGACGTGTGACACCTCTCGTTCCTGTCTGTTCGGGGGCCTCCTCGTGCAGGTCTCCGTGCCGCCTCTCGGGGGGCCCTCTCGGGCAGTCCGGGTACATTCCGGGGGCCCTCTTGGGCCATGCCTGTCACCAGCCTCGATCTTATCCCTATCCCCAAGATTGTCATGCCAAAAGGCGATGGCAATCTCAGGGATGCACCCTCAGAAACTGAGGGAATCCCTAAGATTGGCATCGTGATGAGGCGGTGCCCAGCATAGGGATAGGGACATGTTCCAGGCCGGTAAATCTGGGCCCTCTTGGGCTCTCCTGGTCCCCTCAGTGGCTCTCTCTGGGGCTCTCTTGGGGCTGTGCTGGGCCGTCTGAGGGACCTCCGAGCGCCCTCACTGAGCGCTCTTTTTTTTGCTCTTCTGTGCGCTCGTTGACGCCCTCTTGGGGTCATCTTGAGTCGAGAGCCCCAGGGAGACCAACACAACAGATACATTCGGATTTCCGTAGGTTCTCTGGTGGTTCTGGCTTTCTTGAGGGCCATTTCTCCCGCACCTCGGTGTCTTGGAAGGCTCTGGGGGCCCCTTCGGCGCCTCCTTCTCTTCTATTGATGATGATGATGATGATGATGATGATGATGATGAT